CAATGTATAATTTGTCTTTACTTTATTATAATGGAGAAGGAACAGAAAAGAATTTAGAAAAAGCATTTTATTGGTGTCAAAAAGCAGCAGAAAATGGTAATGAAGATGCAATGTTTAATTTAGCCAATTGTTATAAATATGGAGAAGGAACAGAAAAGAATTTAGAAAAAGCCTTTCATTTGTACCAAAAAGCAGTAGAATATGGTAATGAAGATGCAATGTTTAATTTAGCCAATTGCTATAAATATGGAGAAGGAACAGAAAAGAATTTGGAAAAAACCTTTTATTGGTACCAAAAAGCTGCAGAAAGCAGTATTGAAGGTGCAATATTTGAAATAGTCAAATGCTATGAAAAGGGAAAGGGAACAGAAAAGAATTTAGAAAAAGCATTTTATTGGTGTCAAAAAGCAGCAGAAAATGATAATGAAGTTTTAATGGATAGGTTAGCCGGGTATTATAAATATGGAAAAGGAATAGAAAAGAATTTAGAAAAAGCCTTTCATTGGTATCAGAAAGCAGCAAAAAATTATAATAAATTTGCAATGTTTTATTTAGCCATATGTTATGAAAATGGAGAAGGAACAGAAAAGAATTTAGAAAAAGCCTTTTATTGGTATCAAAAAGCAGTAAAAAATGGTAATGGAATTGCAATGAATAATTTAGCCATTTGTTATGAAAATGGAATAGGAACAAAAAAGGATTTAGAAAAAGCCTTTGATTTATATCAAAAAGCAGCAGAAAATGGAGATAAAGAAGCACAATTTAATTTAGGTGTTTGCTATGAAGTAGGAATTGGTATCGAAAAAGATGAAGTTAAAGCCTCTTATTGGTATCAAAAAGCAGCTCAACAAGGATTTAGAAATGCACAATATAAACCTGAGTTCATTAATAAGATTGACGAGTCTATTTATTGCTTTAAAAAAGCAGAAAAGGGAAGTTTAAATGCAAATGAATGGATTGAAAAAGCTTTGAATTATGAAAAAGTTAAATTCATATCTTATAATGAACTAAAAAATGAAGTATCATTTGATACAGGAGGATTTGGAAGAATATCAAAAGCTATTTGGACTAAAACTAATAGTTATGTTATTTGTAAAAAATTGGCTAATGCAACTTATATTAAGAATGATTTGTTAGATGCATTTATTCATGAACTAAAAATGCACCTGCACCTTAATTATAGTGATAGAATTATTCGTTATTTTGGTATTAGTTTAGGTAATTGAAATATATTTTTTATTTTTTTGCATTGTTTTTTTTAATTTCTCATAAATTTTTCCTTTTTAGACCCAAAAACAAATGAATATCTTCTTATTATGCAATATGCTAATGGTGGAGATCTTCAAAATCATCTTAAAAATAATTTTAAGAATTTAACATGGAATGACAAGAAAAAATTAGCATTTCAAATTGCAGATGGATTAAATTACTTACATAATGAAAATATTTTACATAGAGATCTTGTAAGTACTATTAGTATTTATTGTTTAATATCATAAGTACTAGTAATAATAATAATGTATTTATGCAATTTTTTTTCTTTTAGCATTCTAAGAATATAGTTATTCATGAAAATAATGCTAAAATTACAGATTTTGGTATTTCAAAAAATCAAAATAATCAATCTTCAACAGCCTATGTTGGCAATTTTGGTGTTGTTGCTTATATGGAACCAAAACGTTTTATAGATCCAAATTTTCCATATGCTGAACCTTCAGATATCTATAGTTTTGGTGTATTAATGTGGGAAATTTCTAGTGGATATCCTCCATTTAAAGATAATGACAATAAAATTGCACTTGCTGTTTCTATTAGTAATGGTGCTCGTGAGGTCACAATTCCTGGTACACCTAAAGAATATGAAAATCTCTATAAAAATTGTTGGAATCAAGAACCTGAACAAAGATCAAGTATTAATGAAATATTGGGTGAATTTGAAAGAATGGGTTTTGGAAATAATGTTACAAATAAGTTATCCGAAGGTATTTATTTATGTTCCTATTACATTTAATTTTTGTCTTTATTTATATTGATAGTATCTGTTCATTATAGATAATGATAATTTAACTTTGGAATTGCAAGCTAGTGCCGAATCTTTAGAATATGTTCATTCTTCTTCATATTTCCACAGTAAGTTTATAATCCTTTACTTTCCTTACTTATTAAGATTTGATATTGAACTCATATTACATACTTTATTATATTTAGTTGACTGGAGCAAAGCGTTGAATAACACTCAAAGCAATTAGATTTTCAAAGAAGTTACAAAAATGTAAAAACAATTGTGTATTTCTTTTTTTTAAAAGCTGACAAATAAATAGAATTGAATATGCACTTAATTTAAAAACCACCAATTAATTATGTAATATTTCCTAAATACTAGACTTGAATTAAATAATTTTAGCTTAAATTAGAATAATATATCCATTTTACTCCTACATTAAAAGGAATTACTAATTGTAAAGAGTCTGTTTATATTTCATAAATTTATATCCATCTTTAAATGCATTACAATTATAGAATATTTTTAAATAAAATACTATAATGTTTTTATTAAGAATAAAATAAAAATTGTGCTATACTGTATACGTTGAACTTTTGGTTTTAAGAGCCTCTGCGCAAAGCGCCTTATAGATTAATTCAAGAGATAATTCAATTTGTGAGGTCAATACTTAATAATATCATTTCTCCAAATATTTACTTCTTACCATAGTTTTTTTTAGTTACAATTACCAATTATTAAAGCTTAAGTAAAATAAAACATGCTTTAAATATGTTATTTAAGAAAATTCTGGCAAATTTTATGATTTCATCCCGAATTTAGTTTATAGAGACTATCTCAACTAAAATTAAATTACACATCTAATAATCTAACATGTACTGATTAGGATAACTAAATTGAGACTTTATTAATTTTCTTTGATCCCAAAAATCTCAGAATAGTCTGAGTAAAAAGTAAAAGGAAAATGGACATATTTATTCATTTGAATAAATTATAGGTTATTAGGAAAAACTATAGGTTTATACTAATGCAACGAGATAGTGATACATGAAGATCACATAACCGATTAATGAAATGTGAGTCATAGTGTAGCAGGTTAATTGATCGTCAGGTGATTATGTAATTGATCTTCATGATTATGTAATCATCCTGATTACGTAATAATTATCTGCCTTATCGTGACACAAAGTCACGTGATATTACTTGTTTCTTTGACATTGGTTTTTATGGTTTACCTACCACTTTATGGTGAATTGTGACACTGCAATGGTCAAACTTAAGAATAATTAAATTGTACATCAAATCGATTATATAATATTAATTCACTCGTGAAGCATCTAACATAATATGCATATTTTCTTTCAAAACCCGCCAAATAAATATGTGCTCCCGTTTTTATAATTTAGGTTTCTTAATCCAGAATAATTAGTATATAATTATGAGATATAGACTATTTGTTAAACCTTGCTGCTGTATTTCTGTATTACAAATGCATATAAAATCAGTTATTATAAATTTGAAGCATGAAACTTTAAATTTATTCTTATGTTTTCATCACCAAAATTACGCGACCACAAGGAGTGGAGTAAATATGTATTAAATAATTTATTCTTTGATAAAATAAATGAGTTCAGTTCCTATCACTACCTTGTACTATTACTTGAAATAATGTCCCATTATTTATTTAAAATACTGAGATGAGTGCTATAAGCTAGTTTTTGACATAAAGTACAATATGAATGTAAATTTCCTAAATTATAAAATTTACTATGTTTGCTAATTCTAATATTACATTTTATAAATGATGTCTTAATTAGAAAGAAAGTTGGATTCCAAAATTATGAAAATTATTATTATACGGATTACTAATTAATTATTATATATATATTTTGCTAATCTCTGACTTAAAAAAGACAGAAAATTATTTATAAACTTTTTTTATATTTGTTGTATGTGGTTTCTGAATACCGGTGGAAATCAGATCTTGGCAAGCATTACGAAATCCTAGTCCGGCACTATGCTTTAATTCTGGCCAACATCCCGTATCCACATATGTGGATTCAGAATCCACATAGATTCCGTTTCCACCTACAACATATTCAAAATAAAATTTGTTAAATTTACAACAATTTGTAAGGTTAACTGATCTTTTTTTAAAAAAATCGATTGTAGATTAATAAAGTTGTTATGTGCTTGCGAATTATACATTTATATAATTTTCACGCATAAAAAAAAAAAACAATATATAAAATGCTGAAATCGATTTTCTTATTTCAAAAAATCATTCTTCATTTTCAGTATTATCATTGTTTACGCATAATATCTTATCTAATTTTGGAGCTAATCCTAAAAACACTTACACAGTAATTACTATATGAATGATAGATAAGTGGTTGAGTTTTCTAAAATCATTTTGAAGATTTCCTGGTATTAGTATTTAAATGATCTCAAAGTATAATTTAAAATACATAAAAAATACGTATGTACAGTAAATGAATTAATGAATAACTTCATATCACATTCGAACAACAATTCTAGCGTCACCATTTTCCTAAAAAAAAAAAAAAAAATCAATTATTTTTTCTCTATAAAGTCGACCACCATATAACTAATAAAAACATGCCGATTTTTATTAGCAACAATGTATATTATTTTTTTTCACTTTAAAAATATATGTATAGGAAAATCTATCCATTGTTTTCCTCTGATAAAAGGTCTTCTATCTCTTTCGTTCGCTTCCTTTTGAAGGTTCTGAATAACATAATCTAAAATGCCTCATCATATCAGGATTTATGTCATCCCAACTTTACCGCAGAACAAAGGTTAGCACTTTGGTCATGTGACCTTTATTAAACTTCGTCATCCCCGATTGTGTCATAATTTTCGAACCATGGCATTTCGGCACATGATTATTTACGCCTTTTGTCCTTTTTTAATTCTCATTAAAAAAAATACGCTGAATTATTGCGGTTTTCAGAAATGTTGGCATTGATAGATTTCAATATATTGTATATTTTGTGTTTTTGTGTTTTTCCAGACATTTTTGATACAACTTCCGGACAATTTCCAGATATTTTCTGGATATTTTACAGACAAAATATTGTATTTGTGTTTTGTATTTTGTGTTCTTTTTTGTCCGGAAAATATCTGGAAAATGTCCGGAAATTGTCATCAAAAATGTCCGGAAAAACACAAAAACACAAAATATATATATGGAAAATCTATCAATGCCAACATTTCTGAAAACCGCAATAAAAAATTTTTTTAAACGCAAAATATAATTATGAATATTAATAATCGAATTATCGAAATCCAAATAAAATCCGAATTTAACGAATTGAATATATCCGATAAAAATTTTAATTTAATCATGAAAATTGTTATAATTTAAAAGATAATAAATTTACCATGGTGTAAGAATGTGTTTCTTGTTTCATAATTGAAGGTTGGACTAGTGAAAATAATTATATTGATGAAATCATTAAGGAAACAATTTATAATGCAAAATTAAAATATCATAATGGATTTTATCCATTATTTCTTGAATGGATTCCATTTGATAAATTCAAAGATATGAAACAAATTGGCGAAGGTAGATTTTCTAAAGTATATTCTGTAATATGGATTTGATGGTAAAACAAAATATACTAAACAATGTGATGGAAGTTGAAAAAAAATAAGAATCTAAACCTATGGAAGTTGCTTTAAAAAGTTAAAAGGATCACAAAATATGTCAGCTAAATATTTGAATGAAGTACCGTATGTATAATTTTATTATTTTTAATAATAATAATAAATTGATTTTTTTTTATTTAATATTTAATTTTTATATTAGATTAAAACACATTGGAATCTCTACAACTTGGAAAGTAATTCTCTAAAATTTTATAGAATAACCAAAGATTCAGAAACTAAAGAATTTATGTTAGTTATGCAATTTGCAAGTCAAGGAAATTATACGTTATTTTAAATAATTTCAATAATATTTTATGGGAAGATAAAATTATATTCTTACAAGAATCAATACTTGATCTTACGAGTTTACATAAATTAGGATATTGTCATAAAGATTTCATAGTGGAAATATATTACAAATTTATCATCCTGGCGCACAATCAAACATTTCTTATATTACAAAATTAGATGGTAAAATATGTGGCGTACTACCATATGTTGCTCCAGAAGTATTAATGGAGAACCGTATATATTATCTTCTGATATTTATAGTTTTGGCGTAATTACGACAGAATTATCATCTGGAAAACCACCTTTTCATAAAAGAAAACATGTTACTAGTTTAGTAGTATTAGAAATGTGTAACGAATTTGGAATAGGTACGACCAACGGCAGATGAATTACATGAAATATTAGAATTTTGGTATAATTCAACATCTTTTAGAAGTTATAAAGAAGAGAAATTTGGCTACAAAAGCAAAGATATTAAAAGCTATGTTTAAAGAAGCTGATAAAGAAATACCAAATATTTCGATGCTATTTATACTAGTGGAGCCTTCACATCTAACAATTAGTCAAATCCCATTAATTCATCTATTATTACTTCTAATGAAGAAAATCGTAAGAATATTTAGAATATTTATGCTTAAAATATTGTTATTAATTAAACTTAACAATTTATTAAAGCAAGAAGATTAATAATTATAAAGATTCTCAATTGGTTGAATTAAATGTTTATAACTCATTACAATTAAGAGGTAATATAAGGTTGTACATAATATTTATTTTTAAGTATAATACTATACAATATTAATTGTGTATTTAAAAATACAGATGTTGATAAAGAAGAAACAAGTGATGACTAAATACAGTGTATGAAAATTGAAAATTGTATAGAAATAATTATTAATTATCATTATCCATGTATTTTCGTTAAGCATGATTTTTTTATAGCATAGTAGTTTTGTCTACTTGTTTTACGCTCATCATTTGATTATTATCTGTTATTAATTGTTTGAATCTTTTAAACGGCGAATAAAAAAGAATAATAAATTTGTCATCTGTATTAGCGGGTTATTTAAACTATTATACATTATCTAATTATATCGTAATTATTCAATTATTATTATTTATGTGTTTGAAAATTTCGTGTAAAATTTGGATCAATTCAGAATTTTTTTAATTACGCAAATTAATAAAAACTAAATTCTCGTAGTTTGACATGATGGTAGATGTGATGGTAAATAATCATGAACGTTATCTAAATTATAAATATTAAATTACGAAATTAATTAATATAATTATATGAAATAAATGAAAGTATTGTCATAATAGACTTTAGACAAACTATTGTTGATGGAAACTGCGCCATTGGATACTGTGCGGACTTTATCTAAAAATAGTTTCGCTTTTCACTCAATGGTTTAATTATGAAATATAATACTACGTTTTTTATTATTATCGTATTTTTTTTATTGGATTTTATTCGATATTGCAACTATATTCCATGTGCGTATTTTATGTATCAAAATAAGTAACATTTACCTAAAAATATATATATATATAATCTTTAGGCGTACGGTTTAAAAAATTTTTTCTTGTATAACAAAAAAAAAAAAATATTTTTACAATGACACGTGCAATTGAGTTGATATTTTTTTCGAAAAGGACAATATTACAATAACGTAACTTTTTAAGGAATGTATTTGATAAATGTACATATTTGGAATTCGTTGTATGCAAGGCGACGGGCGTACAGTAACACGTTTATAGAATATCAATATGACATTATTACCTTTATATACATTTATTTGTAAATCGCTTTAGCCGTATGTAAAATTATGCATGTAAAAAAAAAATTTTTTTTTTTTTCTTTTTCAAAATTTTGTTACAAAAAAAGAAAAATTCGGATTTTCCAAAATTATTTGTGTCCTTAATTATTCATCATTATCAAAAAGTTATATTACAATTTTATTGAATACATTAACATTTATTAAAAGTGAATAAAGCACGTGCATAGTTTTGTTTTTTTAAAAAAAAAAAATTTTAACGTTTAAAGAACATAGAATACATAATAAAATTTTAACAACTGTGTCACAAATATTTTTGATATCATTTTTGATCGTACAAAATTAATGATTTATTAAATATTTTAAATCAAATTAACGTTTAACGGGATATACAATTATATATGAAAAATTTTTCGAGTGATTATTCTCATATTCAATTCTTTCAAATTATTTTAATTATTTTATGCAGAAAAAAAAGTAGCTGCTTTTTAATATTGTTTATTATAGTACAGCGAATATTTATAAAATATATATGTAATCAATTAATGAAAAAGTGTAAACAATATAACTATGTAAGCAATTACATAAAATCAATTTTTAATAAAAGAATTTCAGACAAACAACTTATTTATTGGTTCTATGCGTTGGCGCAACAAATTATGTGCCACATAAAAAAAATTTTAAGGTGGCTGAAACAAACTATTAATAACATTTCTTTTTTTTTTTAACAATTCATTCTTTTTTTTTTACATTCTCTAAATTCCTGCATCGAAAATCTCCACGTTCTTTTCAACAATATTTCGCATTCATGTACATTATTTGTTGAACACAAGGTGGCTGAAAATTTTTTCAAGTTAAATCAAAGCCCTAATTTTCCAAATCGGGATAAATTTGATTTTAATGCATTGCCCGAATTTTTAAAATTGAGGCAATGCTAACCTTTATTTATTTAACTTGAAAATTACAAGTTTAGTTAACAACAAATAATTTAAAGCCGACTCTAAGCCAAATTAATATCATTAATTAATCATTTTTTTAAAATGTTATCATCTAAAAGTAAAACAAATAGTGTAAAATACACCGTCCGTTATCGCTGTATTTAAATGAATTGACTTTACACTTTCCTTTTTTTTTCTTTTCGTAAAATAATTTTCCTTTAAAATAAAAATTAATAAAATATGAAATTCTCAACTTTCTCAACTCAAAAATTATTCACACTCGCCACATTACTATTATTTGTAACTGCGCCACAATTTTCATTGGCAAGAACTGCGGAAGAATGGAGGTCTCGTACAATTTATCAATTAATAACCGATAGATTTGCTCAAGCTCCTGGTCAAGAAAATCCTAAACTTTGTTCAGATAATCGTAATGAAGCTGAAATTAGACGTTATTGTGGTGGAACTTTTTCAGGAATAATTAATAAACTCGATTACATAAAAAATCTGGTAATTTATTTAAAATCCTTTTTTTTTTTTTTTTTTTTTTTTGTTATTACACGTTTTAGTTTTATGGTGTTATTAATATTTTTATATTTTCCATTTGAATTTTATAAGGGGCTTGACGCAATTTGGATTAGTCCGGTCGTAAAACAAATGGATAATTTAACTTCAATCGGTGTTGGATGGCACGGATGTAATTTGATTTATCCATTATGTCATTATATTTTGATGGTTTATAATTGATTGATTTATTCTTTTATATACTGTAGATTGGGCCCAAGATATTTATCAAATTAATCCACATTTTGGTACAGCTGATGATTTAAAGAAACTCGTTAAGGCTGCTCACGATAAAGACATTTGGGTTATGGTCGATGTAGTAGCGTAAGAATTTTTATTACATTTCAATTATACAAGGTTAATTCCAAATCATAAAATAATTATTTTATCTTTTAGAAATCATATGGGACCGCAAGAAAAATTACCTCCTAGAACTGATAAATATGTTAAAGCTTATAGTCCATTTAATAAGACTGAACATTATCACGTTTTTTGTCTCATTACCAATTATGATGATCAAGGAAATGTTGAATATTGTAGTATTGGTTCTGCTGACGATCCATTACCTGGTATGTTAAAAAATACAACATATAAATATTTATTTTTTAAAATTTGTTAGTTTCATAATTTCAACCTAAAAAAAATTTTTTTTTTTTTTTTAAAGATCTTGACACAGAAAACCCTGCAGTGATTTCTGAACTTAATAATTGGATAAGTTGGTTAACCAGAGAATTTGATTTTGATGGAATACGTATAGATACAGCAAGACATATTCGACAAAATTTTTGGGATGAGTTCACGAGAAGTAGTGGAGTGTTTTCTATAGGTGAAATATTAAGTGATAATTCAGGATATGTAGCATCATATCAATCACATATGGATAGTACATTAGGTTATCCATTATACACTAAATTAATAAGATTATATACTAATCCTAATGCTAATATGTATGAGTTGAGGGATGTAATAAATAATGATAGAAATGCCTTTAAAGATACTAGAATTTTAGGAAATTTTATTGATAGTCATGATCAAGAGGTAAAGGATTGATTGTTTATTCTATTTATTTAAATAATATTGTCAAAAATTAAATTTTAATTTAACTATTAATTTATTTATCAATTTATAATAGAGATTCGCTCATAAAACTCAAGATAAAGTTTTATTTCGAAATGCATTAACTCTTGTTTTATTAATGGATGGTATGTTTAAAAATTGATTTTTTTTTTTTCTTTCGGTTCTTTATTTTTAATCTTATTTATCCCTTTTTTTTCACATATAGGAATTCCAATAATATATCAAGGAGTAGAACAAGATTTCACAGGGGCTCCAACAGGAAATGATCCTTTTAATCGTGAAGCATTATGGCCATCATCATACTCTCAAACAACTCCAACATATCAATTTATAGCCAACATTAATGCACTTCGTAAAGTGGTATCTCCATCATTTTATACTTCACTCTCAATAGAAGCATGGATAGATGAACATATTTACGCTTTTATTAAAGAGAAAGTATTAATCATCACATCTAATTATGGTGGAAATAATCCAAATAGAGATTTAGTTATACAAGGAAATGGAGTATGGCCAACTGGTGAAGTATTGGTTAATATTTTAAAATGTGATGAAAAAATTACTATTGATGGATCATTAAATGTACCAGTTAAAATTAATGGTGAACCAAAAGTACTTTATCCTGAAAAAAGTTTGAAAGGTAGTCGTATTTGTGGTTTGTAAATATAAAATAATGAAAAAAGAGATGACTATAATAATAGAATTTTTAATATACATATATATATTTTTTTGTTAATTTTAAAAAATTTCTCTTAAAATAAACTAATAATAATATTAATAATATACAATATAAATGTATTATGAAATTATTTCACCGTGAAAAAATCGCAATCGCAATCACAAAAAGTAAAAAAGTTAAGATAATAATATTTAATTCTTTTTATTTCAAAAGGACTGGCTAAAGGCTAGATGGATAATATAAATAATTCTGCATCAATAAAAAAAAAATAAGGAAAATTTTCAATAGCCTACCAAATGTGCGTGACGTAATAGCGATAATGACTTTTTCATCAATAAACTGGTGAGTTATTGGAAGAAATTTAATTAAAGACAGTTATGAGCAAAAATTTTCATTAAATTTGGAAGTCTTACAAATAATTGAATAAACTCAAATGCTACTTGATTATTATTGATTCACAAAAAGGCGCGGTAAAAATAATAGTAAAATGAAATTTTATCCAACAGGAATTACGAATAGTTTATTACTTATTAGTTTATTACTCATATTATAATACTATTAACTACCATCTATTAGAAAATGAGGCTAAAAAATCTTTTTATATTTTTATTTTGGAACGTGAATTTAAAACTTTTGGAGAAATTAAGAATCGCCATTATTATAATCAGAACGCAATTTTAAGAAAACATAAGCGCATTTTTTTTAATTAGAGGATAATTCTGCCTGATTATTACTAATAAAAAAATTCTTACGCCTTTATCTTTGAATGTCAAAAAAAGGACTCGTTATTATATGTCAAAATATTGAACCCACGCAATTATTGCTGAGCTTATAATCACGTAGGCAAATCAAGAATACCTTTATATAAATATAATTAATCAATATATTGTACAATGAAAATTTACAGCGGTTAGACGTAATTAGACTTATATTCCTTCGTTATAAATTATTTATTACTCAATTAATTTAAAAAAATTTTCATATCTTAATACATACATTATAATATTTAATTTTTACTTTAAGTGGATAATATTTTTAATTTTTATTTAACACGATTAAATAAACATTTTTAACATTTCAAAAAAATAATCATAAGATATAATAAAAAAATTTATTTTATACGTTCTTTACAAGATGGTATTTAACAGCGAAATAACTATTTAAGGTAAGTTTGACTACGATAAGATCACGTTGTGACAATTGTGGCACGCCCTTCTGTCATATTTACTATTGGAACTTTGTCAACGTACATTTTACGTAAATGCTTAGAAAAATAATTCTAAATTTGAAGTTACACAAATAAAAGGAAACAAAAAACAATCTATAAAAAAACAGCCTCTATAGAATGAATTTAATATAATTGGAATATTTAAGCGTTATTTTCGTCGCATTCGTCTACAAATAAATTAATAGTATTAGTTTATTTTTAATAACGATTGTAAATACATGATAAATGAAATTACCTTCTGAACTAGGAACTTCTAAGTCGATTATTTGTGAATCTTGACATTCTGTTAAATAATAATTAGTGATTATAATGTTATTACTTCGTAAAAAAAATCTGAAATATGATTAATACCTTTATCTTCTTCTTCTTCATTTAGGTATGAAGTAATAATAGGTGAGTTAATGGGTTTTGATAAATTACTAAATGTAAATAATCTACTAGTATAAATAGCATCAGGATTCTTTTCATATGAGATTGAAATATTTGGTATCTCTTTATCAGCTTCTTCAAAAATGACCTTAACTTCTTCTTTATAGCTTATTTCTTTCGTTTCTTCATCATTATTTATCCAAGAACGCATTACATAATACAATTCTTTTGCTGTTGGTCTTTGATCTGGAATAGCATTCATACATCTATAAGCTAATTTCTTGTAAATTTCAGGAGTTCCTTTTCCAAATGCTGGTCTGAATCCATTACATATTTCTAGTGCTAAGATAGAACCATGTTTTCTTTTATGGAAAGGTGGTTTTCCGGATGATAATTCAGCCATAATTATACCAAAACTATAGATATCTGAAGATATTGTATATGGTTCTCCATTTAATACTTCCGGAGCAATATATGGCAACACACCACATATCTTACCATCTGATTTTTGTTTACTTAATGATCCTGATAATCCAAAATCTGAAATGTAAGAAATATTGGTCTCTGTTTCTTGATTATAAATTTGTAATATATTTCCACTATGAAAATCTTTATGACAATATCCTAATTTATGTAAATTATAAAGATCATATGATAATTTAAGTAAGAACAAAATTTTATCTTTCCATAAAGTATTGTTGAATTCATTTAAAAGAAAGTTTCTTAAATTTCCCTTTTCTGAAAATTCAATAATCATAATGAGCTCATTGGTCTCTGGGTCTTTTGTTATTCCATAAAACTTCAAAAAGTCATTTGCTTCCCTATTATTATATTTCCAATGTATTTTAAGCTATAATATAAATTAGAAAAAGTTTATAAACGAAATAAATCATTACAAGTAACTTTAATACAAAATACTATACCTCATTTAAATATTCAGCTGAAATATTTTGTGATTCATTCAATTTTTTCAAAGCAACTTTTATAGGTTCAGGTTCTCTTTTTTCCCAACTTCCATCATATTGTCTTTCATATTTCGTTTTTCCATCAATCCATATTGCAGAATATACTTTAGCAAATCCACCTTCACCAATTGGTTTTACGTCTTTAAATCTATCAAATGGTACCCATTCAAGAAATAATGGATACTTATAATCATCATAATCACTATATTTTGTATATTTTGCATTATAAATCGTATCCTTGATAAATTCATCAATATTATGGTTTCCGCTAGTCCATCCTTCAATTATGCAATGAGGAACACATTCTTTGCACCATAATGTATAAGGTAGATAATAACATCCTCTATGTTTATTGTTTACTGAATTGAATTTTCATCAATTTATTAAATTCAGAATGTTAAATAAAATTAGTAATTATGATCTTATTGCTTGATAATAAAAAAATCTAGAATATAATTTGTACCTTCATTGCCTCCTTCATCATTCAGATATGAAGTAATAACAGGTGAATTAATGGGTTTTGATAAATTGTTAAATGTAAATACTCTACTAGTGTAAATAGCATCGGGATTCGTTTCATATGAAGTTAAAATATTTGGTATCTCTTTATCAGCTTTTTCAAACATGGTCATAATTTCCTCTCCTTTATAACCAAATTTATCGTATGTCTTTACATGTAAAGAATCATGCCAATAATCTAAAATTTTAGTCAATTCAGTTGCTGTTGGCCTTTGATTTGGAATAGCGTTCATACATCTATGAGCTAATTTCTTGTAAATTTCAGGAGTTCCCTTTCCAAATTCTGGTCTGAGTCCATTACATATTTCCAATGCCAAGTTAATATCATGTTTTCTTTTATAAAAAGGAGGTTTTCCAGATGATAACTCTGTCATAATTACACCAAAACTATAGATATCAGAAGAAAATGTATATGGTTCTCCATTTAATACTTCCGGTGCAATATATGGTAGCACACCACATACTTCATCATCTACCTTTTGTCTATATGATGGTCCTAATAATCCAAAATCTGAAATATAGATAACTTTATCTTCATTATATAATACATTTCCACTATGAAAATTTTTATGGATATATTCTAATTTGTGTAATTTTTGAAGGTTGGATGATAATTTAAATAAGCAATTAATTTTATCTTTCCATAAAATATTGCTAAAATCATTAGAAAGAATGCTTCTTAAACTTCCTCTTTCTGAAAATTCAATAATCATCATAAATTCCTTTGTTTCTGAATCTTTTGTTATTCCATAATATTTTGAATCTTTCCTTTGTAAATTCCAATATGTTTTAAGCTATGATTAAATTAGGAATAGTTTAAATGCATATTAAAAAACAGAACAAAAAATTATCATAATAAATTAATATTGAATATAAAAACATACTTTATTTAGATATTCAACTGATATATTCTGTGAATCATTTAACTTTTTCAAAGCAATTTTCATTGGGCTGGATTCTTTTTTTTTCCAACTTCCATCATCTTGTCTTTTATACTTTGCTTTACCATCGATCCATGTTGCAGAATATATTTTAGAAAATCCACCTTCCCCAATTTGTTTTATACCTTCAAATTTATCAAATGGTACCCATTCAAGAAATAGTAGATGATAATAATCCTTATTATACCGATTAATATAATCATCATGATCATCACTATCATATAAACTATCATCACTACTATCATCATTATCATATTCATAAACAAAATATTTTGCATTATAAATCGTTTCCTTGATAAATTTATCAATATACTTATTATCACTGGTCCATCCTTCAATTATGCAACAAGGGGCACATTCTCTGCACCATAATTTTTTATATTTTGGTCTATAACACTTTTTATGATTGTTTGACGGATTAGAAATTTTGTCAGAGACATTTAATTTGTTAAATTCAGATTCTATTGGGATTTGAGTTTCATTCTTTTTGTCGTTACTATGATTCATCTTAAAATTTTATATTACGGTAGGATTTTTTTTAAAATAGCTCGGCGTTTCTTTAATACTTTATAAATCAATGAGAATAAAAAAGGAATTATATTGGTAAACGGACTAGCGTAAAAAATTCATGCGCCCATATACTCGTATAAAATAATTAATCCAAAAGGAGAAATTATAATAACAAACGGACTGGCGTAAAAAAATCATGCGTCCATATACGTCGTATCACAGTATACGACATACGAATTCATATAGTAATATTACAAAAAATAATTAATCCAAAAGAGGAGTTATATTGATGCAAATTTTTTCGTTATTGATTATTTTTACCAATTAATTAAGTTTTTAATTAACTAAATTACAGATATTAAAATTGTATAATATAAACTTAAATATTTACTTCATTTACGTCTGAGTGGAAAATATTATTTTTATTAAAATGAAGTTATTTAATTTTCAATTAATATAAAATTTAAATTAATCATTTTTTAATAATTTCAAAAGAAAAAAGGCCTGATTCTTAATGCAGGAGAGACATCCCCACATGTTTCACATATTCTTTATGCATCTGGGCTATATTGCATATGATTTTTTTATGGGATATACTATATTTGGTAATGCAAACTAAAACGATTAGCATCAAATTTTTCTGATATTAAATGTTGACACAATAATTATAGATTATATAGTTTCATGTCCACACAAAATGCACTCACGAAATGGGTTAGATATTTATCAACTGTAACAATGCACCCTTATTTTTAACGCTTATTCCGAGAACAATTTTTATAAAATAGTTAAATAGTGTTATTTGTCACTATTGTATAAAACAAGTAGAAACTAGAAAATAAAAAATCAAATATTTAAATACCAAAATTGCATAAATAAATAAAAGAAAACTACGTGAAAGTTACATAGTAGTATGATAATAAATAATAAATAGAACCTGATAGATACCACCAATTGTAATACATCCGGATGCGTACAGAAATGTATAAAGAAATTACGGAATATGAGCCATATTACCTTTTGGATACACTTATTAGATAATTTTTATTTTCCAAAAAAATTATATTAATCCTGAAATTGAAAAAACTTCTACCAAATTATATAAATAGGTTTAAAATTTAAACGCACCTGCACCTTAGCACGTGATTTATTTTTAAAATTTGATTGGCTAATTGGAGCGTATTTTTGTTATGCACCAGTCAACCCGCTATGCAATATTCCTTCTTTTGAAAATATTATTTTTTCTCTCTTAAAATGGTAAAAACTTTGAAATCGCAAGTAAGAAAGTAAAAATTTCTTGTCTTTTGTTGTTTTCACGTCTCTTTTTTTTATCTGAGGACGTTATTAACGCTTTCTTTTTTTAGGAATAACTTGAACTTCGGTATGGACTTTGAAATCATAAAGTGGGTTTCTTGGTTTTTTATTATTTTTGTGTCTTTTTTTTTGTTTGAAAATATTATTAAAGATCTTTCTCACTCATTTTTTAGGAACACCTTGAGCTTTGGTATAAACTTTGAAATCACGAGTAGGAAGGTGAATTTCTTGATTTTTTTTTATTATATTTACTTTTTTTGTTTAATAATATTGCTAAGTTCTTTCTCTCTTTTTCTTAGAAACACCTTGGACTTCGGTATGAACGTTGAAATCGCGAGTAAGAAGGTGAGTTTCTTGATTTTTTTTTATTTTGGTGTCTTTTTTTTATTTGAGAATACTATTAATGTTTTCTTTCTTTCTTTCCCTTTTTTAAGAATACCGCGGGTCTTGATATGGGCTTTAAAATCATAAGAAGGCGAGATTCTTGGGTTTTTTTTATTATTTTGGTGGTTTTTTTATGAGATCGCTATTAACGTTCCCTCTCTTTTCTTTTTTAGGTTTACCTGGACTTCAGTATGGGTTTTAAAACCGCATATATTATTATTTCGGTGTTTTTTATTTGAGAACACTTTTTTAGAAAAGCCATTTTCAAGTTCAAAAATAAAATAAAATAAAATAAAATAACCAAAAGTTTGTTTATTTGATAAATAAATAATTAGCCAATCAAATTTTAAAAATAAATCACGTGGTAAGGTGCGCGCAGGTGCGTTCAAATTTTAAACCCAATTATATATTTAAATTAAAATACCTCACAAATAAAATTTTTGTTTTATGTATTTATATAAATTTGTAAAATAAATACTCAATAATAGACAAAAATGAAAAGTAAAATTCAATTAATTGATTTAAAATGCTTATTATTATTATTTCCACTAATTAAACGATTTCACCATTAATGCATTATGTACTGTATTTTTTAAACCATCTACGAACGGTGGGCAATAACTTGATTCTTTATAGTAAAGATGCTCACTTGGTCCTCGGTCCTGAGTCCTGACCGGTCTTTGAAAATTTTCTGAAACTTTGTGATAATTCAGCGATCCCAGTAATACCGAAAAATTCCGTAATGGTCTGCATTAGGATCAGACAGGTTTAGTGTAACCTATTATGGAGATCCGTCATTTAATTTACTCAAAAATCACGCAACAAATTCACATTTTATTAAGCGCTAATGTTTATTTATAAGTGATCCTTTCTTTTTTTTTAGTTTTTTTCCTTATTGTAGTACCATTTCTTAAGGTGAGATTTTTTTTGTTATTTGCTGTAGTGGTCGCCGTAAGTAATAATTATGGGAATTGAAATTGTAATATTTCAAATTAGTGTGATCAGTAATTAATTTATTTATTGGAACCACAGGTATTAATGTATTTATCGGTCTGATATGCATGTCACAATCAATTTACCGATAATCATTTGGACAAATTGTCCAAATAAAACTTAATTCCAGCCGGAATTAAGTTTCTGTTGTATGAACGGATCAGGACCCAGAAATATACATATAGGGGTCAGGTGATGAAAAAAATTTTTTAATATAAGCTGTACACATTTTTTCAGGGCCGGAATTATGATAATGTCAGTAAGTTACTATAATAGGGGGGCGTCTAAAGCGGAGTTAAATCACGTGATCAGTTTAAGTCACGTGACTCTTAGGTGACTGTAATTGGTACAAATTTAAAGAAAAAATCATATTATTTAAAGATTTAATGCCGAAAATTGTTATTATTTATTTATTATACATATTTATTGTTATTATTTTATATTTATTATACAAATAATAAAATTTAGAAATTTAGTAAAATTTTTTTAATGAAAATTTTTAAATAGAAAAAATTTTTAATAGAAATTTTTAATAGATTAATTTAATAAATTCTTAAGCGAAAAATTTTTAATTGATAATTTTTAAAAAAAGAATTGTAAAACAAAAAAAAATACATAATGAATAAATTTTCGTTCACTTAATCTAAAAAATTAAATTTTTTTAATTTGATTTATCAAAATTCGAAATAATCAGATTTAGAGAAGCTTCTAGCATAGAAATAAAAGTTTCTGTTTTCTCAGTATCACCCCTCTCTTCAACACTCCAGTATTTATCACGAATTCTTTCGGTTAGTTCCACCACAGTAAGTCTCCTATCTTCAGCTTCTTTTAGTTGTTTCGTCTGCACAAATTCTATCACTGATTCGCGATTTTCATATATTTCATAGCCACATTCTTCAAACATTCCCTGAAATGCTTTCCATACATCAACGGTCAATAATTTGGTGCTTCCATAGATGTGTTCGTGAAAAATATGTTTGCATGGTAGCAGATATCAATTTCGAAACAGACAGTGACAATTAAGCGAGGATAAACCCGGTGCACCTTTACCTTTTTCAATTCTATTCATCACAGAACAAGCCTCCTTAACAAGTAGACGTTGAAGTGGAAAGGGAAACTTGTGAATTTCCTCTATAATATCATTATCCACACCATAGGCAGATATTTTCTTTGTACGGAATTCAAAAGCAGCTCTTTCAGCTTCGGATATCTTTTTGAAATCAACATCAACAGTATTATATACGGCACCTTAAATAAGTGATCAAATGAAAGAAAGGGGAAGGAGAGAAGAAGGAAAAGTGTAAAAGAAAAGAAAACAACCAAGAGAAAATGAAAAGAACAAAACGGCAAGAGAAGAGGAAAATAAGAAAAAAGTAAAGAAAAAGAGTGAGTAATAGAGAAAAATGGAAGAAAATGAATAAACGAAAAGAGGCAGGCATACCAATTAATCCATGTGACGAAGATGTTAATCTCTTCAATTCGCTGTGGTAGGATTCCAACGGATTCGTAGATGTAACCTGCAGAAGAAGCGGCGAATGTTGGCGTGCCCACAACCCCCATTGTTGTGTATTTTTCATAAAATTCCTTTTTATATAATTTTGAATAGCGGGAACGGGACAATCATTGATTGCATCTTGCACAAGTTTCTCGCAGCTGATTTTTGTTCTTTTATGCATTGCTGCGTTCATAACATCCCGAGTTTGTTTCTCATAAATCTTTGTCATCCACGTTCTTGTAACGTGTACAACACAAAGGATTACTTCGCACTCCTGTTCACCAGCACTGATCCCGGGAAAAGCCTTCTTGATGGCTTTAGCCTCGATACTACTTTGATCTGAAAAAATATAACGGGGAATCCAGCGACAGAAACTACTACGAACTATTTTTAACGCTTCTGAAACAGTATCACAATCTTCGTTACTCACAAAGAAGTGAGCTCCCACATTCCAGCACCCGTAAGTATCCACTAGTCGAAAAAGGACAATTCGGCCTAAATTTGACCAGGTCGAATATAGGTCGAATAATGGTCTAACCTGTGTCAAATTGAGGTTGAATTTTCGGGCGCATTTAGGGTGCCAATCGTCCCAAATTCGGACTAATTATTCGACCATTATTTAGGTTTAAATTGACCAATATTTGACCTTAAAACTTTAAGCCGAATTATTGTCTAATAACAACCTATTTATTTATGAATTTATTTTGATTTTTTTTATCAAATTTATTAAATAAATGTATTTATTAATGCTTAAATACTTTATAATTATATTATTATTATTGCATCTATCTAATTTACAAAAAATATTGTTAATTCAAATACAATTCCACAATTACATGATTCATGTATTCGTATATACGAATCTTTGATTTTTCTTTAGCAATCCACCCGAACCTATAAAAAAAAGAGAAGAACGGTTAGTAACCGTTCATAATATTAAAAAAAAATAAGAAAAAAAACCAAGATTCGTACTTACTTACGAATCTTTGGTTTTTTCCGTTCTTCAGAAGACACCTGAGACACCCGAGACCTAAAAAGAAAAGAAAAGAACGGTTATTAGTAACCGTTCATAATAATATTAAAAAAAAAATCAAAAAAATAAACCAAGATTCGTACTTACGAATCTTGGTTC